ATCCCAGTGATATAAGACCTCTATTGTAATCCCAAATATTGAGTACAGTAATCCAAGTATCGTAATCCTTTTTCCAGTTTTTCTCACCCTCCAAAAAGTTATATTTTTAATCCCATTGAGATATTATTGGAATCCCAGAAGGTTAATTCCAACCTACCACCTCCGTGCAACCCACAATGAGAATATGGACACTAAGACATGTTCCAAGGTAAGGGCAGCCAGGGTGTACCAGCGAGAAGGTGAGTTCCTAAGTTCACATTTAGCAAAAAACAAAAAACCTCTTCTGGCCCTGATCACCTGAATCTGTGTCCTGAAGTTCATACACAGAAAACTAGGCTCCTCTCTTTCCTGCTGATGCCCAGCAGAGTAATCCTGGGGAATAGAGAGGAGCATTTGAATGCAGATCTCTTCCTCATCACATTAAAGAAGAGTATTCTAGATGAGTGTTCTCCAGGCTTAGGTCATATTGGCAGGATCTGGAAGGTTTGTTAAAGAAGTTATCTGGGCCAATCCCATAAACTCTGGGTCAAGGAGTCTGAAAGGGGCTAAACAAGGCCTATATTCTGAGCCACCTTGGTACTGGTGATGGCCCTGCCAATCATCTCTGGGCAGAGGGTGCTTACAAATTCCATCATGCTGGGTTCCCTGTGTTAGCCTGCATAGTCTGTCATGTCTCTCTGAACCATTTATTTGGCAACATGTGTCACTGAGGCAGGTGCTGTCTGGGGGTAGGAGAGAAGACAAAGAGCACGGTTGGTAAGGACGATCAATAACAAATAGCCATCCTAGTGTGGAATAAGTCAAGCGACAAACACACTTGGCTTTGTTGCTTTTCTGTTCGCTTCAGGTTACACTGGTAACCAGAAGTGGAGACCAGGTTGCTAGCTGTTAGTGATAGCTTCTTGAATTTCCAGGCCACTCTCCTATTGCACTAGGTGGTTTTATAATAGCTGATGCCCACTGGGGTGTGTGTATATGTGTGTGTGTGTGTGTGTGTGTGTGTGTGTGTGTGTGTGTTGAACACAGAGCCCTCACCCTGTGGTACATCCCCAGCTTTTAAAATTTTTTTAAAAATTTTATTTTGACACAGGGTCTCACCAGGTCACTAAGCTGCCATGTCACCAAGGCTGGTGTTAAACTTGTGATTCCACTTTAGCTTCCCAGAGGGCTAGGATTACAGTCACACGCCACCACACCCAACTTGCTCACCATTCATTTAACACAAATTCTCAATATCTGATTTGTTTGTGTGCTTTTACCTGAGGCTCAAGTAAAATGAAAACTTTTAACTTTTTTTCTGGGCAAACAGCAGACTTTTTGACACCAAAGATGCTGTGGCCTATGAAAAACCAGGCAGAAGAAAAGCTGAAGGGAGTGACATGCAGAAGTCCCTCTGGCCATCTCACTGGTCTAGGGACTTGTCTTGCTTCTGAGCTCTGAGGAGGCTCAGGGGTTAGATGATTGAGGCTCCTCGGCTCCAAGAGTCCTCATCTGAGATGTTACCAGATCTGCTTTATCTTGAACTGAAGCAGAGAATCCCCGGCCAGAGTCAGGGCAAACTCCCAGCTATGGGATCTTTCCTCAGGGCTGTCTTGTCATAGGAAAACCAGGCTCAGCACCCTGGACCGAGGAGGTCAGTGTGATACAGGAGAAAAGATGGAATTAGAGAGAGAAAATAGGAAGGGCAGAGGTAGAGGGGAATTGAGAGAAGGACAAAGAGGGTGGGGTGGGGAGGTACAAGGAATTGTATCTGTTTCCTATGGCTCCTATAACAAAGTGCCACAAACTGGGAACTCAAACAACAGAAACACACAACAGATCTCACAGTTGTGGTGGTTGGAAGTCTGAGACCAAGGTGTCTGCAGGATTTGTTCCTTCAAGCTGGTTTCTCCGACCTGTAGTGGTGTCTGCAATCTTGGGCATTCCAGCTTAGAGATGTATCACCTCAGCCTCCACTTTCATTCTCCCTGTGTGAGTATCTGCCCAAACTCCCGCTTCTGGAAGGGGACCAGCCATATAAGATTAGGGCCTACCCCCTGACCCATTTTATCTTGTTCCTCTAGGATTCTATTTCCTGTGAAGGCCCCACTCACTGGTCCTGAGGAGAGGATTTCAACATCTTAGGGGGCACACTTCACAAAGGCGAGAAAGCAAGGAGAGAGCAGGTACTGACCCAGGTGCAGAGGAAAAGGACAGGACCATGAGACTGCATCCCAGGGCTCTTTCTCTACCACAGAGCCTAGACGGTGCAGTCTGAGACTAGGCTGTAATATCAGGCTTTGGGCAAGCCCCATTTCTGATGCCACTAGACACTGGCCAAGATGAAGAGTAAGGATGAAACAGAGTAGCAGAAGTGACAGAAGATGGCCCTGGGCTACAGCAGGAAAGCATCCTGTTCCCTCCAGTCCCAGGTGACATGAGAAACTTAGGAACTTGTGGGTGTCTCAGTCCTATGCCTGGAACTTCTTCCTTTCACTGTGTGATGAAACCACAGAGGATCCCTTAGGGGCCTATTAGAGCAAATTTCCCCAACTACCATGTGGCTTAGCTCTGTGGTAGTCCTATTAAGGTGCTTTTTTCTCACCCTGAGCCACTCCTGCAGGCATGGAGCAGTTCAAACATTTTAGAGGTAACTGTCTATTTGTACTTGGAATTTTATTTGCTTCGGGCAGCCTTAAAATGTCATCCTGTGATTGTGGGCCACACGGAATCCTTACAGGACTGATTCAAATCCAGAGTCTCAGAAAACAGCCAGAACTCATTTAACTTGAAACAAAATAGTCATATAGTTGTCTCTGCTTTCATTCAACAAATATTTATTGAATCTGCAGTAAAAGCACTGAACAAACAAAAGCCCCCCATTATATGGGGATGAGTTAAAAAATCAAATAAGTGAGACTGGATGATTTGCTTGTCAGTATTGAGGAGCACCACAAAGATTCTTTTAAAAAAAAAAAATAGGATAGAGAATGCCATGTGCAGATGAAAGGACTTTCAGTATAGAAAAAGGGGTCCAGAGAGTCCTCACTGAAGAGGTGATGCTGCAGTTAACACAAGAGTGAGGAGATGAAATCCCTGGAGTGCAATGTTCTGATGAGTTTGGAGCTAATGTCACTGGGGAGGAGTAGACAAAGCTCTGTCCCTACGGATGACAGTGCTCGCCAGCTTTCTGAAATGCTTGGCTTTTAAGCTTTTTTATTTTATCATTTTTACTAACTCTAAAACATCCCAGAAATTCTAAAGTATATCTCCCAGGGTTCTTGCCTCTTGAACTTGGAAGTCATACATCAACTCCCCCACACTCACACTCTCCTCTATATCCCACTATACTCTGATTTGGGATCTGGAAGGCAGGATCAAACCATAGATTCCTAAGTGCTGTCCACTGGGGCTGAGCTACTGAGAAAACAACTACAAATAGCCCACTATTTCACCTCTGACTGTAAATGATTCTAAGGAAAACACATGCCCATGTGTGCACATTGGTATGTACATGCACTCTTATATGCACACATATATGTGCTGGAAGGAAAAAAACTGAGTCAAAAGCAAAATATTTTTCCATAAAAATTTTAAGTTAACATTCTAAGACCAAAATTAAAATAGAATGAGGTATGGTGGTGCACGTCTATAATTCCAGCACTCAGGAGGCTGATGCTGGAGGATCACTGTGAGTTCAACACCAACCTGAGCTACATAATGAGTTAAGGTCAGCCTGGACTACTTAGTGAGACCTGTCTCACCAAAAAAAAAAAAAAAAAAAAAAAAGCCAAAACCGAAAACAGTGAGAATGTTAATTGCAGGAGTTCTCCAATGGCAGTTTTGTCCATCCTACTTCCCCAGCCATCAGAAGAAACTCAGTTCACAATAACAGTAAGCTGCTCTCTGTCAACCCATTAGAGCCTGTCTCCAACACTCTTTTAGTGATTGCAGGTCTCATGGATGCAAACACCATCCGTTTGCTGCTGGACATCTAACTTTGTGTTTGCAAGCCAGGTCACTACTCTAACACCCAGCTAGAATAACGATGTATCCTTCTGTCTGCGTGGCTGTCTATGAGACACCTCCAGTGTCACGTGTTCCTACACGAACCACTGATATTTGCCCTTTATGCCTATTCCTCACCTTCCCATTTCTGTTGATGACAAATCTTCCAACTTCTCAGATCAAAATCTTAACCATTTCTTTACCTTTGTTCCTCTCGCATCATATGTGAATTCATCAGCAAAGCCTATCGATTTTTTCCTTAAAAATATACAGCTGCCAACTTCTTACTACCATGATCCCTCTCTGGTTCAAGCCAATGATGTCTTAGTTGGTCTTTCTGTTTTCTGTCTTTTGCTCCCCACTGGCTAACCTCCTAAGTGATCCAGTTAAGGCACATGTCAGATTGTATCTCCCCTCAGCTCACAGCCTGCAAGGGCTCCCACCTCACTCAGAGGAAAAGCCATGTCCCTTCAGTGAATGCCCTCCTACCTGGTTTCCCCATCTCTCACCTCTCTCATCCTATCTCTTGTCACATTCAGCCTGCCTCCTCTGCTCTAGCCACACTGGCCTTAGCTGCCCCTTGTGCCAGGCACTCTGTACTCACAGAAGATTCGCATTTGTTACTCTCTCTGCCTAAAACCCTTGTATCCCCAGACAGCTGGATAGCCAACTCCCTTCCCAGATGCTAACTCACCATTCAAGGTCATTGGCTCCCCCAGCCTATGCTCCCCAGTGCCACTCTCTGCTTAATTTTTTCTCCTTAGCCCTTGTCACCATCTGATCCAGTATATATTTTAATTAATTCCCTGTATCCTTCACTAGGATGTGGGCTCCAGGAGGCACAGTTCTGTTTTATTTACTGATTTAGTCCCAGGCCTCAGAACATCCAAGTGCTCCTAACAAGCGCGTGGTTTGAATTAATGCCAAAAGAGCACACCACTCCCACTTCAGTACGCCTCCGGTCTGGCTGGCACACAGAGGGCGCTCAGGCACACTTGTGCCAGCAAGAGAGGCTTAGAGATCATCCTCTGGACCCCTCATTTTCAGAAGGGCAAGGACAATGGACCCCAGGGAGGGAAGGAGAGCCCAACCTAGCTTGGCAGTTTGACCATGGGAGCTGCTGTGCAGACAGCTAGCTCTTCACATCTGCGTCACACGCAGCCTTTCTGAGTCAGGAGGGAACACTCATTCCTGCTCCTTTGAGTGGGGAAAGAATTCTGCCTGTGAATGAGACACAAATCTGAACTCCTGGGACATTCCTGTTTTGATCCAGTTCTAGCAGTGACACTGTTGGGTTGTGCTAAGCTGGAACAGTGAGGGCATTAGGACCAGGAGCAAGGCGGATGCTTGGCTCCTGGTTGTGTCTGGCAGAGGGCTCTCCACTCAGCACAGCGATGTGTGAAAGGAAATCAGTCACTGCCTGCCGCCTTTACATCTGTTGATCTGAACTAACTTGAAGCGTCCAAACAGGACGGCTGTCAGCTCTGCTTGACTGAGAACCCGCCAGCTCACCCCAGCCATCTCATCCCTTTCTGGCTACTCTTGCAAAGTGGGGGAAGAGACACGTGGGACTAAACACCTGAGCAGAATGGACTGCTTATTTATCCCAAGGAGAAAAATGGGGCAAAGGGGAGGGGGCGAGCAATTTAATTTGAAGTCCCTGTAAACAGGTTTTCAGAAGGCAACTGAAGAAATCCACTGAGAGGACCTAGGGTGGAACCGTGGTCCTGTGGCTTTCTGATTTTAAGCTGAAGCAGGTCTTACACAGCTGTTGGCAAATGTGAGATGGGAGAAAAGGAGGAGGCTAAGTGAGAAGTAAAGAACTTCCAGGTGAAAGAAACAACTCAAGTGCTGCTGCAAGGCAGAGGAAATGTGGAGCAGCATATGAGAAGGCAATCTTGAACATGACCTGTTGCATTTGGCAAGTTGCAGCAACATGCTCCTAAAGAAGCGATACCGACATGGACCGTGCAGACATCAATTCCTCCTGCTGCTCCTGATGCTGGGATGCCTCCTGATGGTGGTGACCGTGTTGTATCCTCCCCTTCCCACTCTGCACCAGGCTGTCACAACCCAAGCCAGCAAGCACAGCTCTGAAGCCGGGTACCATCTGGACCTTGGGGAATCCCAGGAATGGGTACTGGGGAATGAGGAGGAAGTGGAGGAGTATGGCCTTCTGGAGGACCTGCCATCCTTTATCTCACTGCAGGAGGATCAGCTTCTTATGGCTGTGGCCTCACCCAGGGCCCGAAGGAATCAAAGCCAGGGGAGGAGAGGTGGCAGCTACCGGTTCATCAAGCATTTGAGGAGGCAGAATGAGGAAGCCCCAGACAGGGACTGGGGGACCAAGGAGGAGGATGGGGAGGTGTCAGAAGAAGAGGAATTGGGCCCACTTAACCTTGACTCACAAGGCCTCAACGAGGTACTCAGTGCCCACCTCCCCCTGCAGAGGGTCCTTCCAGAAGTGCGGCACCCACTGTAAGTAAGGCCCCACTTCCCCTTCCCCGGAATGGGTGCGCAGTCAGGTGGCAGGAGAGCCAGTGCGGCAGACTTACTGCATCCTGCTTTCTCTGTACTTAGGATGGTGCTTTTTAAGGCGTGGTCCCTGGGCCACTTGTCAGAAATGCAGATTCTCAGACCCCAGCTCAGGTTGCTGAGTCAGAAACCCTCAGCAGGGCTCAGTGATCTGTAATTACAAGCCCTCTGGGTGAGAACCACCATCTCCTCTTCCTGATTCACTCGCTTCCCTCCTGGGCTCTAGTCCTGCCTCTCTGGATTATCAGGGCATGCAGCTTGATCTATGTAACACATATGGAGGTTGGAGCAGATGTCTTCAAGAAGCCTTCCAGTTCTCATACTTGGACTCTGAACATCTTTATATTAAGCTTATTGTTAGTGTTTGCTTTTATTTTGGATCAAAATAGTAATTACCATCCACATTTATGTGACTCTTGCCATGTGCCTGGTTTTAATCTAAGAGCTTCTCATGCACTAATTTGTACTCCTGTAAAGTGCTTGTTACTCTGTAGGATAGATGTTACTATTAGCATCATGTATATTTTAGAGGTATGCAAATAGGGCACAGCGAGGCCAGTGGCTTCCCCACAGACGCACAACTGGTAAATGTTGAGACAGGCATCTAAATTCAGGTGTAATGGTCCAGTCTGCCTAAATCCCCAGTCAGCAAGGCTAAGGGAGGAGTTTCCAGTGCTCAAGAGGTACAACACTGTGCTGACCATAGCATAGCCTAGCAGGGTGGCCCCAGCCCAGAAAGAAACTGGGAAATATGCACACCGTGCAGGCCTGTGTCCAGGAAGATGATGGCCCTTCCTTTACAGACGCCCCTCCCTTCCTTCCCCAGTGTCAGATTCGGGCCTGCTGACCAGCATCCAGGAGCATTGCAGCTTGTTGGTTTGGGTGTTTAGGGTCCTTCCCTATAACACACAGTTCTCCCCGAGAGCCCAGAGCATTCCCTGGAAAGCAAACACATCCTCTATTGTAGAAGTAAGAGCCACGTAAATCTCAGGCTTGTGGTCTATTTCCTTTCTACCTGACTGCTCAGTCACTCACATGCAGGAGCGTGCAGGTGCAGGACCAGCACAAGGAACCAGCTCCCTCCTGTGTACCTGGGCATCTCATGCCCTCACTCTCACTCCTACCCTGCTCTCCCACCTCACCTCCCCCCCACAGGCCTGGGCTCACAAAGCTCTCTCCGGGAAATTCAGCCCCTTCTATGCTGCACTCTCTTCTGCATCCTAGAGTTTGAACTCATAGCACTTAGTACTCCTAGAGCTAAATGGCCATTGATGTGTCCATTTGTCCACTGCCTGTTTCCCCTGCCATGCCATGAGCCCAGAGAAGGTTGGAACTGAATTTGTATCATACATCCTGGTGCCCAGGACACTGTAAAGAAACCATTGCTAAGTGAAACATATCCAATTCTTTTGATACATTTTCCCACTCACCTAAAGCAAGATGGAATATCTTCGTTGTATAGATAAGAAACATTATCCCATCAAAAGAGTTTTTGGCTACCAAAGGAGTGTGCATATGTGACTATTTGTTTCTGCATCAAGCAAGGGTGCTATGCATATTTGGATTTGTGGGTCCATTGTTTATGTATGTTTATGCATGCATGTGTTGTGTATGTACTGTGTATTGTGATATATATGTATTAAAGGAACATTTTACATCTGTGTAGTATATATGTACAGTGCATTGTATGGTGGTTTTTTGCTTGATGCATACATGTGTTATATATGTTGTGTAATACGCACAAATATGATCTATGTGATGTGTTGTCATATGCAAGCTGTAGGTTAGCATTCATTTACAATATATAATGTTGTATATTCTGGTAACATGTACATGGATCATGTGCATGTGTGCACAGGTATAGTGATGTTTGTCCTGCATATGTTTATGTGTTGTATGTGTGCATGTGTGTTGTGTCATGACTGTGTTGCACATTATGTGTGTTACATGTTTGTTATGTTATGTGAGTGATACATGTATACATGTGCAAGTGTGTTAAGTATGAAGGGCATAGATGTGTTATGTATGTGATACAAAGTGGGTGGATGTAATATACATATCAGGTGTGCTATGTAAATTGTACATTTTATGTATTTGTTGTGATGTGTACATGCACTGTGTCTATGTCCCCATGTGTATATTGGGGTGTAGTGCTTGTTTTTCATGTTTATATGATATTGTATTTGTTGTGATAATGTTGCATGCATTGTGTGTTACACATACATATAAATGTGTAAGACAATTGGAACACATGTATATGTTCAAATGTGTTGCATGTATTATGTTGGAGGTAGGATGTGCAGGAAAGTGTGATGTGCATGTGTGCAATGTATGGTGCAGGCAGGAACACTTTGTGCCGGGTGTTTGATGTGAACATGTATGTACATGTGGATATGTTTGTGTGCACTGCTTCAGTGGTTGCTTCTTCCTATCAGGGTGAGCAACTCGCCTCAGGTTGGCTGGCACTTTCCCTATGTTAGCACTCAGAGTCCTGGAGTCAGGAAAACCCTTAACCCCAGGCAGAAGTTGAAGTTGGTCTCTCCACCCTCAACCTGCGAGGCTTCTCACGGTCGCAGCATTGTGCAGAGGTGCATAGCGCCCTCTGCTGGTGCGTTCAGCCTTTGAGCCCCCGGAGGGTCTTCCCTTCCCCCACCCAGCTGCTGCATGCACAACCCGACTTCCCTTCTTAGCTGACAATGGTCTCCTCTTCCCATTTCTTATAAAACCAGATGAAATACAAGATATACACCTACCGTGTGCAGGCCCTGTTTTTCCACTAGGGCTGGCCAAATACTAACATATCTGGGGCCACTGCTTTGTGTGTAGTGTACCCTACCCTATCACTTGCCCCTGAGTTTCTTGCAAGCCGTCCTTGACTCCAACCCCAACAAACTCCTCTGGCCTTCACTAACCCCACCACTAGTCCTGACCTTGGTCGCTGCCCCCTTGCCCAGGCCCCATGCCTCTGCTGCTATCTCCAGAGTCATGCTAGGTGCCATTTTGAGCAGGGACATGTGAGGAAAGGTACCAAGAATGCAAGACCAATAAAGAAAATCATCACTGTAAAAGCGATCGAAAGATAGTGTCCAGAAAGAGAGGCCAAGTATAGTGAGCATTTTTTGAGTATCATTTGTGTGATTTTCAAAACAAACCTATAAAGTAGATTTGGTTTTAGAGGTGAGAAAACCAAGCCACAGAAAGGTGAAGGGATTTGTGTCTGACACTCAAATCACACTTTTTGTCACGATGCAAGAATTCCTAAGTCTGCTACCTCACAGACCAAGTGTTGAACAGCTCACAAGAGCAGGAAACAGTCCAGGCTTTTCATCTTAAAGAGGGGAAATACACAGGCTTATGGAGAGACATACAGAGGGCAGCTTCCCTGAGCATCCTTTGGTATAGAGCCATTGAAGCCAGCTAGGATCTTGTCACAGGGGCTAGAGGAACTGAGTTCCTAAGAAATCTGCAGCCTGAGCTAGAAACAACTAGAATATTCTCGGTAATGAGGGGACACCTCAAAACCCTACTGCTCAGGAGAACAAGTAAGACACACAAAGAGGTCTCTGGCTCAGTATCTACAGGGAAGATGGAATCCACATGCTCTAATCAATCTGTTCTTTACAGGACAGCTCACACTCCCTGCGATGGTTTGCTATGGCGAGGGGACACAAGTAGACAAGAATACACAGACGAAATAAGAGGGGCCTATGACAGAGCCATTAACTGAAGCTTAAGGTTAACCCAGCCCTGTGACACTGCTGTCAACAAAAGGCTGTGAGGAACTAGCCTTGCTCAATTAGCCTGGTGCAGTGCTGACAGTTTTTAAAGTCCTTCCAGGCCCAGCTCCCCTTTGATCATCCTGGCATCCAGCACAGGGCAGTGGATTCTTAGAATCAAAGATCATCTGAGCGAGCCAGTGCCTTGTAACTTGGTGTCCAGGGCAGAGGCTTCCCAGCTTCTCTGCTCAGCAGGACTCCCTGAGGGCTGGATAAAGTACAGGTTCCTGACTGCCACTCCAGTAGCTTCTGTTTCAGCAGGTCCAGGCTGGGCACAGAAATGCACATACAAGCTCTTGTATGTGCACATACAAGCTCACATTTCTACAAGCTCTTGGTGCTTGGGCTGCTGCTGCTCTAAGGCATGATCTCACTCCCAAATAGATGGACCAGAACAGGGACCCTCAAACTGTAATGTAGGTGTGAATCACTTGAGCAGTTTGTCACCATGAAAAGCCTGATTGTGCAGATCAGGGGTGCAGCCCAAGATGTTAGGCTCCCAGCTGGGACCTGCGCTGCTGGCCCACAGACCCCACACTGGAGCACCAAAGGGCCACACCACTGGATCCCAAAGGATATGCACACTCAGTTCTCCCATATTGCATTAAGGATATGTCTATCCCCTAACTGGAAACCTCCCTGTTAGTGCGTTTGGGGTGTTGGTGTCTTCATCTAGAGGTAGTTTCTAGGTTCTTTTGTCCTAAACAAATCTTGGTCAAGACCAGTGCAAAAGTTTGCAAGATTTTACATTTATTAAAGGTAGGAAAAGAAACAGGTTCTACAGAGCATGTTTGGGCCAAATAAAAGTAGGAAAATAAGTACATTCCACAAGATGAAAACAGGCTGGTGTGAGAAAACATGGAGAACTCAATGGGGACCATCCTCAGGCTGACATCAAGTCTAGCCCATCCTACCCAAACTGCTTGATTTTCTCACAAGAAGCCCCAGGCAGTTCTGGGAACTGTTCTGTCCATCTGTCCTCAGATTTTGTAGTGAGAAGGTCATGCCTACTTCCCCAGCCAGATATGCTATGCTCTGGTCCCCTGCCTCACCCCTGTAGCTGGAGCCCAGTGATTTGAATTTTTAAAAGTTAATTGCAGGTCCATGCAGTGGTACACACTTTTCATCCCAGCACTCAGGAGGCTGAGGCAAGAGGACTACCTAAAG